ATGTATTTAGGTAAATAACTCAAGATACACTAATTGGCTTCTAGTGTTCAGGGTTTAGGAATCAGCTTAAGTGTCACAGACCACTAAGGTACATTGCCTAAACAAAGTACTTATTCCAAGGTATAAAAAACTCAGAAATATACATCTAAATAAGATAAGATGGAGCATAAGGTTATATTGGAGCAAGATAAAATTTAAGAGGATGAATTAAGTCATACAGAGTGAAGTTTAGAAATATACAAGTGCATAGTAGGAAGTATTAATTTCTCCACCTCAAATCAAAATAACCCTTCAAGATGTTGGCGATCGCATACTAGCAATGTTCAGAGTAGATTAATAGGAGCTAATAAAACCAATAACATTGTAAGAGACTTTACAGGACCAAACTTCGAATTTACGCGAGTATGATAATTTACAAGAGGAAATAATTAATTAAGGAAAACGACCATTTGCTTCGTTAACTCACCAACTAATCTGAGGAAAAAAATTAGCTCTTTACTTTCTGTATTTTGCAACAAAATGAATGCAGTTCGTAATAGATTAATTAATAGTGAAAATAGTCATCTATTGATACAAATTTTGGAGTTAAACGATCCCTCATGTGCTGATTAAGATAAATAAAAAAAATCAAATAATTACAAGTTAAGATAATGTTATAATATAGACGCAAAAATACTACACCTTAACGACTGCCGGAAATCCGGAATAACTAGCCCTGTGTAACGCTGTATATCCATCTTGATCAGCTGCTCCAAGCAGAGTCGAAACTGTTAATTCGGATGCACAAATAGAATTCCCTTTATGTAATTTATCCTCTATTTGGTACTGAGCTAAGGAGCCCACATTTTCCATTTTTTTATGCATAGATTCATTTTTCGAAGCTCGCCTCTCTAACTTTTTGTCAGGCGTAGATTCGTCTACAATTTCGTCTTTCTTGGCATCGATGAATACATGAGCCGATACAGATGGCTTGGATTCGTTGATAGCGCATCTTGCCTCGGTATAATTAATGTCATCTTGGGCTTGGCAAAGTAATTCTACAATTCTATGAAGATTTCCTTCTTCTGCAGCAACGATCAATTGCTTGCGAGCGTCTTTCCGAATCTGAGAATTAGACCAAGATGAAATATCATTTTCGTCCTTTTCCCAAGCGCTAACAAATAAACCTGGGTTGGCTTCTTTGGCACGCATCACCTTTGAAGGAATACAAACGAGATATAAGTTATTAATCCCTAAATGAAAGTAGTCATTAGCTGAGATTAGGTCAGAAATTACTAATCCATCTTAAGTGCTCGAGCATTTAATCCATAGCTAAGAACTAACCTGATCTGCAGAAAGTTGAAACTGCTTGACTGCCTCTTCCTCATCTAAATCAGGATCGTCAAAATCCATCTACAAAATAGTAAGACTGAAACATTTCACAAGACAATGAAAAAAAAAATTCTCAGAAAAGTTTTATTTGGTTTGGCTAATATTTCACTCCTATTTTTCTATAAAACGGTCACAATATGATTACAAAGGAATAAGGGAGGCATAAGACATATAACCCCACAATGTCAGTCATATATATCATATTTGTCGCATATGTAGCGGATAATATCATAGGGTGTGTGGAACCTGGAAGACTCTGAATCCGGAATTTCAAAGTCTAAGGATTATAAAGTAGTAAATTACTCACTGAACTCGTGCTCCATTTCAACGACCATTTCAACATGATCTAGGCTGTCCAAACCAAAGTCCTTAGCAAAATTTGATTTTAGTGTGAGCTAAAAAGAATTTAAAAAAGTAATCATAAACCTTCTCTGGGTCTATCTTATCGTAAAGTTGAAGAACAAGCATAACTCTGCCCTCTATGATTTCTCTATTCAGAGGTGGTCCATGACTAAAATGCCTTGCAGCGGACACTGGGAAAAAATTAATTAAATTCGTAGTTTTTTGCATTGCATTAAAAAGGTGGGTAATCTAAGAAACAGAATATAAAGCTAATTCATTATACTTTTCGTGAAAACGTAAAGGACATAGCTGAACACACTAACAGGATAATAAAGCGAAAACAGTGCTTCGCAAGGTCAATGATTATAAGAATTAAAGGCTTAATGTATGCAATAAGTAGACCTTTTTATTTATATTATCCAATTGTATGTATTTTTTATTAAAAAAGGAAATGCGCAACATCATATTATTTAAATGATTTTTTACAAAATTAAAGATCATTGAATTCAATTCAAATGCTTTTATTAATCTTGCATCAATAAATATGTTCTATAACCGGCTAATCATTTTTTTGGCTGCGAAAATAAATGGGATTGCTGTTGATGCTGGTAGCTCAAATATCCTCGATTCATTCTTCTCAAAACGCCTTTAACCACCACATGATCTTGATTTTGTATTTATAAGTTTAGATTCTCAGCTCATTTTTATAGATCTACACCGTAAATGCGGTTTAGTAAATATGCCGTATACACCGTAATAAAACTGTCTGTATTTGTTTACCACCAGTGCAATCATATTTTATAACCTCGAATATCTTATCAAGTCAAAAAAGGGGTATTTAAAATGCCTAGCTATTATCTCACATTCATTTAATTAATTAGTAGATATTTAAACCTTATCAAATAATGCAATATACTTTTAAATATTATTGTAAGGGAAGTGATAGTAACTATGCAAGCGGGTTTTATCTTATACGTTGTTCATTGTCTTGTTATAACAGGAAGTTTTTCTTGCAAAGGATTTTGAAAAAGAATAAATGTTAAAAGAATTTAAGAAATATCTATAAATTATACGGTTATAATAAATATAATATCTCTTATACTATGTAAGAATAAGGATAGTGAGAAAAAATTATCCGTTTCGAAATTAAGCAAATATCCTTTAAGAGGGCCTTTAAATTCTTGATATTGGCATACATTTCACTTTGTTTTAAAGGCCAGTGGAAAGGATTCGTATATTCGCCTAACTGGATACCAAAGAAGGGTTGTCTTGGACTTTTTCCTGTTTAATTGTGTGAAGAAGATCTCGTCTCAACGTCCTACGACCAAACCCTCTGCGCTGGTAACTAAGGCGTTGACCTTTCTTTTCATTGTTGTGTTGGTCGCATTAGTTGCCACACACTTTGAACGGTGATACGTTAATAAATTAATGTGCATTGAGGAGACGTTAGTTTGCGCGTGCCGCCTATGCTGGTTGGAATTGACTCATGAGCTGACTGGCCATTGACTAATCATGGTTCGAGCATGAAGGCATGGACGAGTAAGAGAGGCGCAATGGCGTGCAAAGCAGCTTCGGGCGTGAGCCCGGGTAGAGCCACCGCTGGTGTAGATCTTGGGGATAGTAAAAAATATTCAAGTGGGATCCTTGAAGGGAAGAAGGGTTCCATGTTAAACTAATATACTATGGGTCAGATGGTCCTAAGTGATACGGTAATTAGAGCGCTATTCAATGGAAGTGAAAACAATTAAACTAACAAAAGTCTAAGGTAACTCTCCTTTGGTATCCGGTAAGGCCAAACTAAGAATCCCTTCCATCAGCTAATATCAGTCTACAAATGGATTCTTCGAAACCCTGCCTCTCTTCATATTTAAACCCTCGGTTTTTCCATTCTCCTGCCAGAGTTTCTTGAAGGTTTCCACATGCACACTAATAATAATAATTGGTCTAT